GCGGAATGCATTTTGATAGACTCCCATAGTCTATCACAAGGGTTTCAAACTCAATTTCATTGATGGCCGCATCAAGGTTGTATTTGACCTCAGGGGACTAGAGGGGCATCACTAGCTCGATGTCACACATCAAGATTTCGGCCATGATGGCCCTCCCGGGCTCCGTTTTTGGCCACGACAGCGTCCTGTAGCCCTCTGCTAGTGAAAATGGAGCTCGGGAAGTCTGTGTGCTGTTTCCAGGGCGGGCCCATGGGCCACATCTAAGCACCCCATGGGCCGGAGCCAGGCCCTGGGCCTTGAGTTTGATACCCCCGGTCTATCATAACGTAGATTTAACTTCTAGAAAGAGAACAGAGAATAGTGGAAAAGATTGCAACAAAAATGATTTGTAGCTGTAGTATTACTGCTGACGGGAATGATAGAAGCTGAAATCTGGAGAGCTCCTGATTGGGCAAACTAAAAGCACAAGCTGATAATAACCAAAACAATAATTACACTTTTTCCAGTGCAGTATATGTCAAACCCACTTAGTTGATAAAAGGATGCAAAATTAGAAATCCTTAATTTCTAGCAACAATTTATGTTTTTAAAATGAGTGAGTGAAAAGTGAAACAATTATAATCCATACCTTAACCAAGATGGGAAATTGCTTGTCTTTTATATATTACTGGACTACAGTTGCCATAATCACTAATCACTGCTGTTTGCAGTAACAGGAATAGAAGTTCCATGACATTTGCAAACCACATATTACTGCTCTTTCTCTAAACACTAAGCTTTTTTACCTAATGCTTCTCAATAAATTAGTAAATCTATATACAGAAATGAAAATCAGCCTTAAATAAAAATATATTGTAGATTTTGTCACTTTTCATAAATTCTGCACATTTATAGCTAATTAGAATATTTTAAAATGAATGTGAAAAGTTTAACACAGCTTTAACACACTTTAAGTAAGAGCAACAAGCTAGTACAGATTTGGAAGTCATAAAATGATTTGAAAAGTAATAAAATATTTATAATTATTAATGTAAGATGATGCTAACAAGCTATTTCTTTTACCAAAAGATACTTAAATGCACATTTACAGTGCATGATAAAAGTCTGACACAATGTTTTAATCTGGTATTGGGGGAGAGAACCATTGCTACCTACTTTTATGGCAACCTACACACAACACATGCTGAATGGACTAATTTAAAAGAGCAACACAAAAGTTAAAACACAAAATTGGTTTAAACATAAAGCTTGACTCTTGGAACAGACCCACGTTTTCAACAATATCATGTAGGAACAAGACAGGCTTTTCTTTATGCAACACCATTACAGTTCATCAAAAAACATAACTGAGTAATACTAAACTCAAAATCTCCACTGGGAAAAAAGTAAGTAATGCTTTTGTTTAAAATTAAACATGCTTTGAAAAGAATGCAGTCCTCAATTCAAGTGCATACCATGTTTCCCTGAAAATATGACTTACCCCAAATGTAAGTCCTAGTTTGATTTACACCCAATTATAAGCCCTACCCACAAAATAAGCCCTAATTAAGACACCACCCATTCAAGGGTGCACAGGTAAAAATTAAGCTACGGTGGGGATGGGGTGTGTATGGAGCTGCCCTACTACNATATATATATATATATGCATGTCTGTCTGTCTGTCTGTCTATCTATAAATTGATAATATAGTCTATAAAAGTTCATCATATAATGAAACATATGAATGTAACATCCACTATATGTATAAATATGTCAACTGCAGCAATTACATTAATCATATTTATCTTAAGACATAAGCATTAAATATCATTTCAGCCTTTAACACAAAAACTTGGATTTCACTTCTTTAACTCAATATCCAAGACCAGTGTAAGGAAAACCAAAGGCCAGTTCACATAAAGCCTAAATATCCAAAGTGGTCTGAACAGATCTGCAGACTTCAAAACCATTGCTTCCCTGTTTGATTAAAAATCAATTTCCAACCTAGGTCTTCATTTATTTTGCAAATCCAAATCATTCAAAAGTTAATCATTTGGCATATTTGACATTTGTTTAAAAAAATGCAAAGAGATAATGCAAAACCGCTTCTACACATTCTCCTACCATTCAAATCTGTTCAACTATAAGCTTATGTATTAAGAACAATAATTTTGTAATCTTTTTTACATTTTCTCTGAGAATACTAAGAAAAGAAAGTAAAGGAGAAAAATCACTGGCTTAAGTTCATAAGAAAATAGACAGGAAGAAGAGTCTATAACCAGGAGGTCCTCCTTGTACTACATATAAAGTTCTGAATTTATTTGGATCAGTTCTAGATATGATTATTTAGCCTTACTCATTTGTGAAATGGATGTTTCAGCCTCCATATACTGTGACCCTTCTCTCCAGGCACAGCAATTCAGCATGTTTAGATCCACTTTGTATTCCATGTAACTATATTGCCAGCAGTAGTGTGCACGGTGGTCTCACACAGGGCAAGTGATGTCCTAGCAGAGCCTGTGTGAAGTCTACTTTATAATACCCAAGAGAGGAAATATCCCTTTAGCTCTCAATTAGTGCTGACAAATCCATGTCTTTATGCACTCAGCTATATATGTTATGGCCTTTGAGATGCTTGATTCCTTTCCTATATAAACTGTGCCCAGTGGGTGTGAAGGTTACAAGAAGGTTACAAATTCCACTATTAACCACTAATATTGTACTGGGCCTAGACCATCTATTTCTGGATTTTAAAAAATGGATGTTCAGCTTCAATCCTCTCTTTTATCATTAAGTTTACATTACAATATTGAGGGTGTTTCTCAAATGCAATCATGAGTACTAAAAATCTCTTTTTAAAACATAAATAATAATAAAGTCTTAAATCACGATTTTGTAAATTTCTAGAAACTATAATGGGCACCCAAGAATCTGAAAAATCAGATTGTTTTATACATTCTTTCTATTTAATTAGTCGAATAAAAATTATATATGAAATGGTGCAGAACCATCACACACTCACAATAACAATAAACATATTAACTCATTTGCCAGATTCAAATTAAGGAATGAAATAACAGGGGAGAATGCTAGTCAGCCGCTTATAGTGAATGTGTGATATAATGCACCATATTCAAATACCTCATTCGAAATACCTTTACAATTTTTGAATTGGCTAACATTGTTTATGATTTCAGCAACTAAAATTCACATTCACGTATATTTACATGCAAACCATGGATTATAAATACAACAGCATAATCCTCTATCCAACAGCTCTGGTTGGCACTCAGGGTTTCAAACAGCACTACTGCTTTCCATTCCCTGTTACTACATAGAAAGCTTTTGTTGATGATGAATTAGAGGAGGCAGCTGGGGTGAACAGGAGGGAACCAGCTGAAGTACAGGGAAGACAAAAAAAATCTGCTAAATACACAAATACCTGGACCATGAGAATGTCGCCAGGCTGACTGAATTATGACCAAATGCTTCAGTGACAAGAGAGAATTTCCTTAACCAAAGGGTCTCACATCTGATGCTTATACATCTGACAAGATAAAATTGCTCCCCATACACACATATCCCATGCCACATGGTTTCTGCAACTTCAGAAGAACATCTTTATTCAAGGAGTGGAGAGGAGCTAAATGATGGATGTTTGACCTTGCCTCTTCTCACAACCTACAGGCAAAGACCTGCCCCATTTCCATTCAAATGTATAGGAAAGCAATATTCAGAAATCTTGGTTTAGAAAGCCACCCAAGCTTTGATGGAGACCCTGTGGGATACACAGAGTTTTAAATAGAATATAGCACACTTTGAAAATGGAGGAAAAAGCTGTCCTGCTTTAAGGAACCTTCTTGTTAAAAGGAATATGACTTTTAAAACATAGGCTTCTTTTTTTATTCAGAATCATGTCAAGCTGATTAAACAAATAGAAGAGAATGCTGCGCATGTACGGTTTGATGTTCTTTATCTAAATCATTTTCAAAATCTAGAGGGCCCAGATACAAGGCCCATACCTGATTCTGCTAACTTGCAGAGATTGAGGATTGGCAGATAAATACCTAGATCTTGCAAGCTAGCCAGTGGATGACCCTACTCGCACTGACTAAATGCAAAAAAAAAGGGTGCAACAGAAAATAATCTTCATTTTACATTATTTAGATGTCCAAAAAGAAAACAAATATCAAGTCTCTTTGTTTAGATTTACTAGACACTGAACAGCATAAATCAACATTAGCCAGATTGTTGTTTTTGTCTTAAACAAGAATCTGAAGGGAAAAAAATAACAAAAGAATACACTGGATGCAAAATAAGAAAGAAAGCAGAATACTAGCATAAGATAATAATATCTAAAAGACTAGTCTTCGATTATGTGTTATATGCATTTTCTATTATAACGTCTTCTTTCCAGGTGCCATTTGATACATGATGCAGACTTCACTTACTGTTAGATGCTGGAACAGCCATGCCCTCATGATATTTGTGGCTACTTTGGGAAAGATGCCCCGCTTTTTATGTCGCTTTTTGTCCTTATCTGGATCATCATCATCACCTGTGCTGGGAGACGCTACACTGTTGTCCAAGCCGTCACCTGTAAATATAGTGAATCAAATGTTTCACTTTAGCTATTTTGAGATTCTATGACTAAATCTAATTTGGGTAGGTACATACACACCCAACATATGCACTAAACACACACATGAACCATCATAAACCTAATGAAAATTCACACTGTATTTCATGAAATAATGTTAAACCTATTACAATTTTTTTTGCTGTTGTGAATTCTAAATCACAACTGCAGAACAATATCATCTATTTTCTGGTTGCAGCTCTAAAGATGCCCCTTCAAGTCCCATTTTAAGATGCTAACCATTAAAGCTGAGGTTTTCTGAACGCCAATAATGTGCTCTCTCACTGAGCTACAGACCATATATCCAAACCAGATTGAATTTTTATAGACTTTTTAAACAATGCCAAGCACTTACAACTAAAGCTATTTGTAAATATGGAAGATATTATTTGGGACCATGTCTGGGAGATTTAAATAAGGTGAATCATCATTACAAATTGAATGTTTTTACATTCTGATGAGAGGTTACATAATATCATCCTCTCACATTAAGTTTAGAATATAATTATTGTTTGGATTTTTCCATTTGTTCATATGATGTTATGCATTCTCCGCTTCTCATAAAAAAGGTTCAAATTGCATTAAAATGCACGTATTTTTAGGGGGGGGAATTTATGTGTATTTAAGATAAAACCATATATAAAAATTTATTTGAGGAGTTAAAAATAGCCACATGTATTTTAAATAAAACTTTTGTTATGCCTTTTCTTCAAATTATCATATAAAAACAAAAATAGAGTCAAACTAAATTATGAATGGGCACATGGGTAGCCCAGAAATAGAATGATTCATTCAACTCTTACACCATCTGCAATCACTGTATATCCATCAAGAACCTGCCTTTCTGAATTGTATTAGCGAAATTCAAATTTATAAAACCAGTTATTTATGCTGTAATTTTAGCTTATTTTTCATACTGCAAGAAACACAGCAGGAAGGCCAGCATTGTGAAAGCATTTTTCAGAATAGCTTAGAATAATTACTTATATTTCAATTTCATCTTTTTCATATAGACAAGATGTCAAATTGGAGCTCCCACTGTCACGATCTTTATAAGCATTCATGTTTTGATCTGATTTAGGCAACTAGTATTAAAAAAAAATACTTAGAAAGCTTTTGTTTTAAACAGGCATTTTAATTCTTCAAAATAATGATTGAGCATGCAATCTTGTAAGAATTCATTCTTTTAAAAAATGAGTGCGACTATCTTCATAGAAAGCTCTTTGCTTCATGAAAGTTCAACTGTGGCATTCATATCTAAAAAAGAACCCTCATAGTAATATTTTAGATGTCTTAGGCTGATAAAAGTCTTTGAAAGGTTTTATTCAGAGAAGCAATTCCCCATATAAAGTAATGATTCATAAAATAAACATAAGCAAACAACAACGGCATTTAAAATTTCCCTGTACTAATCCACATTCTCTATAGTCTGATGGGCAATTAAAGAGAGGCAAGGAAAGGAGAAACATATCAGGCGGTCAATGGTTAAAAGTAAAAGGGCTTTAATGTGATGACATCCTATTGCTTATTCTTTTTTTAAATATACTTTCAGCTCCCTTATCGCCCATTCACCCACCCCCACCCTGGCTTCAAATTATTTTAGCAAGCCATGCCTTGTGCCTGGATAGAAGAGAATTCATTGATAATTTATGGAAATATCTACTATAATTCAATGGAGATTTTTTTTCCAGCTTTGTGCATCAATAGATAATCAAGGCCTCAAAGCAGCCTTAGCTTAGCATTACCTCAGGCCAAAGAATTCCTGAAAGCATGCCTTCGGGGCACCTGAATTATAGACTCCATTAGGAGGGGGGAGGCTTTCTACATTCCATGAAGAACACTTCCCCAGAACCTTTCCTGTTTATTTCTGCTGTATGAAAGCAGAAACATTAGGAAAAGAAACCACCATCCCACCCCTTTTTGAAAGGGGAGGCTTATGGAGATACAATGGAAAAACCTTTCAAACAAGACTCAGATCACCTCCCATCAATCCCAGGCAGTGACCTATCCCAAATAAAAGATTTCTGTTACATCATTAGCTCAAGCCAAAAACAGCCTTGGCTTAATGCACAGTTTGTTCTTCCTACTGTTTTTAGGCAAATACAGCTACTTTACTCCCATCTGGGAGGGAAATTACACCGCTGGGCTGTAATCTAAGACAAGGTTTTCATTGGAAGCAAATGCTTTCAATCCCATGTAAAATACTTGTGCACGCTCAGAGAAGCTTAAAACAATAAACTCCAGCCCAGTCCAACAGAAGATAAAAGAAGGATAAGAGGGAGAAAAAAGCAAATTAATGAAACAAGGTCCTTTAGAAGAAATTACTTCTATAGTTTTTAATGCAATTGTTTTTGGAGGAGGGGGAAGGATTCAGGAAACTTGATTCTTTGTAAAGGAAAAATCTCAGCTAAAAGTCTAAACAGCATGTCCATTCACTCTGCAATTCAATACTGTCACCTCTGTAAGATCTCTTGGGAATACTTTTCCTCTTCTGCTTTCTCTACCCTACTTTTTAAAAAACAAAACAAAAAAAGACTCGAAGAGTGACTAACTAACCACATGGTAGCAACTATGAACCACGTTTGTGAAATGTCAGCAGTGACTTCATGCTTGAAGTTGACTTCTCCCACTGCCAATGAAGGCAAGCTGAAAAGGTGGAAATAATCATAAAAATGATGCTAGTCCATAAACAAGCTTACAGCCTCATTAGTATAGCAGTAGATTCCACTGGGTGATTTATACTCGTTTTGCTGATGCCATGAGGAAATGCCATAGGGCAACTTCAGCCAACTCCTAATGGTTTCTGACAGCTTCTTAGCAACTAGTGCAAGCAACGCTGTGGCGTTTGCTAGTAAGAGAAACTGAAAATGTCATATTATCTGTCCATGTGCCACAATGTCCATGTGGCAATTAACTAGTAGTCCAGTGACTGAGGGGCCAGAGGCTTTTAAAAATGCCCCTTGGCTATAAAGGGCATTGCTTGAATTTGTGTTGCACATATATGCAAGTTTCTAATGCAAGGGTCTGGATGTCACTGGCATCTTTCTCATGGCCATTGATGAGTTGGCCTGCACAATATGCTCTTGGAGGGGCATATTTTTGGAAGGGGAAGGGAAATCTATTTCCTTTCTTCTTTCAACACTAATGACATTATCAGAGTAATTTAGCCATTAAAAAGTACCTTGATAAGCCTTGCTTGTAAATAAATTTTGCTTGCAAAATACCCGTACCCCTGCTTTTGAACAATGAGTGAAGGACAAAAAGAGCTAGTTCTTTTTCTCCTTTTTCACAAATTAGTCTAAAAGGATTTGAGATCACTGAAGCAGACTCCTTGCCTGTGAAATTGCTAGAAGCATAAGAACTTAGCATAGCAAGTAGAAGACACTATTTAAGCAAAACAAAACAATATAAAACACATACATCATGAATCTTACAACAACTAAAATGACAGCTGTGGCTCTACAGTGCAGTTTTTCAGATCTCGAAGCAATGCAACATATGTTAAACTTTTAAACCTTTTAGTGTGGCCTTTTGATCTTTCAAATAATATTTAAGTATTATTTTTAAACTACTTTGCAGGTTGCGGTTTTGTGAAAGGGGAGAATGAACAAAGATATTTGTACAACAATCTGCCCACATACAATTCCTCACAAATTTGGGGCCTAACCCACAGAGCAGGGCAGATGACCTGTGACAACTCACAGATTGTCCCGAGGCTCAGATTTCAAACGCACTTACCTCAAACAACTCAGAGTTGCCTATTTAAGCATACCCCAGCATTTAGGCTGTGCTATCTTGTTTCTTTCAAGACAGGATAAAGAAGCATTTATTGTATTCAAGCCATTCAGTGACTCAGACTGGCCATGTCAGCAGGGGTTCCTCTCATTCAGGTCAAATCTCTACCCTTTCACTTCCTAAAAGTTCCCCTTTGGTTCTCTTGATTGTCCCTTTTTACTTCCCCTCCCTCCCAAGAAAGTTACACACAGAGAATGTATAGGGAAAAATCCTAGAATTCCATTCTTCAGCAACATTACATTGAATGAGCTAAGGCTCCCAATGAATGCCAAAAATAACAAAAAAAGTTCTTTGACTTTTCTATTGTTCCTTACATACCCCCAAAAGATTCTTTGGGTATGTGAGGAACAAAAGTCAAGGAAACCATCCATTGGTTGGAGAAGATGGCATGTTGGGCAGGGAGAACAGGAAGAAGGCTCAAATACCAAATTCCTATTTTGCATCTGCTTTTTACAAAAGAAAAAAAAATGCCAGGAGCTATACCATATGGGAGCAGAAGAAAAATGCAGATTCAAATAGTCAAAGATGTGAAAAGAAAATGCCTANAGTCTGCACATACATATAATGATGGGTTAATTACTTCAATATGGACCAAAAAGAAGGGAGAGATTTATAAATAAAATAGTGATCATGTATAACTTTAATCAATGCTTTCCATTGGGGGGGATTTATCTGGCTAAGCTTTTTAAAAATGTAAAAAGTTATGTCTTCAAAATTGGGCAGTAGCAACTAGTCTACACACAGCTACAAGTATCCTTACTTTTTCATGTTATTAATGTTTTATAAGGACTTGATACCTCCAATCTATTGTCTACTTATTGAGGGAGAGGGGAATCTGACCTACAAGCTGCTTAGTATAATTCAGACCTTCAGACCTTGCTCCCAAATAAGCTATGGGACATTGCCTTCCTCTCAAATGCTAATTGCAGAGGATTAATGTGTAAGTGGATAATATGTATTAAGTGCTTTGTATTGGTAAATGAATGCTCATTGTTTAAAAATAAGTACTCAAGGAGAAGTGAATCAAATAATTTCACTGCAAGCACACAGCATCACTCAACTCCATAAATCACTTTGCCAACTAATTTATAACTGAATAAGTTAGGGTAAGGTGGCCATACATTGCATCACAGTGAATATTTGTCATGAACTAGTATGATCTT